AGGAACCAAATCGCGCACTTAGTATAATACTTTTTCCAGTGTAACGGAAAAATGCTGAGAAAAACTGTGTTTTGCGTTTTTTAATAACTTTAAATTCCTAACGGACGGAGGTCGATATGAGCCAAAATCGGCCTCCTCTCAGATCAATCCCATATTCACACGTCTGATGTAGTTTTTCTCCGTGATTAAAACTAGCACTTTAAAAAAGCTGCGTTGACCTCCCCTAGTAAAAATTTCTCATCCAAACTTTTCCCAGCTTAGATGAGCTCTACGCCTTGTCCACGTAACTCAGAACAAGCTTTTTAATAAAGTTTAAATTTTAAGATTTTCGCATAATTCTAAGAAAGTGAAAACATTTTTTCAGCTTTATTTTCATCTTAGTCTATATTAGATGTCTAAAGCTAAGTCTGATGTGAAAATGAAACCCTTTGAGCAATGTTTAGTGCTCCAAACTTTGTTGGGAAAAATGAGTGTCACAGCGTCACGAAAAATGTCACAGCGTCACGACGATAAGACACAATTATTGAGGGATGGAAGGCTCTTTGGAAAGATTCTTTTTTAACAATCAGTAGCTCGTTTACTCCTCTACAAACTTTGCTCGAGACGCTTTTTATTAGCTCTTCTAAATTCGCAGCAAATTAGCTTTTAACGAGAAGCACTTCGAATTTAGGGCCTTTTTTTGTCACAGCGTCACGCGCCGAAAAACGCTTCTAAAAGTTTGAGTCCTTAACCACATACCTTCATTTTTATACCAAAAGTAGAGTATGGCGAGCTGCGTCGAACGGCGCAAGAACGACGGTTCTAGCTTATACACGTTTTGAGGAAAGCTCAAATTACTGTGTCAAAAATGTCACAGCGTCACGCTTGGACAAGCCGTCTAGTTGGAGTATTTTCCTCATTTCTTTTTTTTTGCTCAAAGCAAATCTCAACTACCGTATCCCACTCGATAGCGAATTTCACGGGCTACAAAATGATATATATTAGATATTCAGAACAAACTCCGGCGGATTTGGCCTAATTTGTAGAACGTCTGCTGACCACATTCCCTAACGTAGAACCTTGACGTTGGTATCAAATGAAAGAGAACATCGAGTTCTATGTATTTCGACGGAGAAAAGTTATGCTACATCTCGGAGTCTTGAGATAGAGATTTATGAAAAACCAGGTTTTCTAGAAAACCTAGTCATCTTAGAGTTGCTTTCAGAAACCTTACAACCATACATAACGTGTCATCATATAAGTCAATATGGGCAAAAAAGTGATGTAAAAAAACAGGATGAGTCCGCTCTCCTTAAACCAGAATCATTTGAACATATTCTTTTTATCGGTGAGAGTGCGAATGATCTCATATCTACGAGACTATTTATTTCAAAAATTTTTATATAAAAAGAAGGAACTTTTCAAAAACGAAGTATTTCGTTCAACCTGTGAATATGAAATAAAATAAGTGTGTAAAGTAACTGCTAGTTGTCTGTTTCTTCTTCAAGTTTCAACCCCAGGTTGTTTTCATTAGCATTCGGACCAGTTAAAATTTTCTGTTCTGTAAAAAGGAACATACAAGACCGACGAGTCTGTGAAACTCTTACTATTTACTTTTAGTCGTTGACCTAAAGATTTTCGTCTGTATTCTTCTTCTAAATATTCACTACGGAATATCTGACGATTTTGATAGACAGATCAACAACGAAATTGTTAGTTCGTTTCAATTTGGTTATACGCAATTATACGCCCGATAATTTTGTGAAGTATCAAAACACGGAGCAAGAATGAACATAAAGTAGTTTGAGCTGTATCTAATTCTTTTTGACACTGATTCAGCTGCAGCAAATAATGTTTTTTTTGTATAAACTTTTTATTGATAAATAAGAAAAGAACATAAGTAAATCTTATCGTGCTATCGGACGCACAGCGCCCATTGTAAGCAACATAAAAAAAAATGATAAATTCCAATGTTTGAATAATAATATCAAGTGAACAAAAGATAAAATAGACGTGGTTAGAGAAGACATTTTCCGTTATTTATCACACTTTTAAGCATACCTAATGACAAAAGAAAAAACAACAAAATAAGCATTTATGTGTAAAAAATGAAAACATGATAAAGAAGAAGAGAGAAAGAAGTAATGGACGCTGGAGGAGATGATATAGAAAATATCAATAAGTAACGGCAAATAAATTAGGATGACAGACTGATATGTGAACTGCATACTGTGGAGTTAAGCCTGTAATACAACACCAGTTATGTATTTAACTCTAATTCTCCAGCTTTCGGAAGCAAATTTGCAAACTAATCGTTGATACCACTTCTGTCAAAATATGGAATGACATGAACGACTTGTTGAATTACTGAACAGACGTTACTGTACCGTCGCGCAAACACTTACATCAGAACTAAACAACGATTATGGAGGGCGACGGACAGATGAAACCAATCCTTCGTCGCGCGTTTACATCATTGGAATTCGTAAATGATCATTTGAAACAGTATATACTTGCTGTTGTTCAACCACATGTGCCTACTGTTGAACGGGATGTTGTACTAACGATAGGAGCAACTGGAGTTGTTTCCATTTCGTCTTCAATGAATACCGAACGAACAGATAGATCAACGCACAGCCAATAATTAGTAGTAACATCACCACAGCAACATCTTGCCAATTCAAATGAAATTGTTTTGGTGCGCATCAAATATGTTCTTGATCTCAACATGGACTTGACCATTCTCATCTTTGGGAATATTATTCTCTTCTTTTTTGCCGCAGAACATGATACAAGATAGCAGTACGAAGAAATGCAATATTAAATTTATTAAAACTATTTATGTGTATATATGCATCCAACAAAAGAACTACGCAGAATTAGATAGTAAGAGAGAAAGTATGTATCAACAAGCTATTATTAGTTACTTATAATCTCATTCCGATTATATAAGATACCAAAGAAATATTATTAAATATCAAACAAATGAATTGAAATGCACCAAGAGAAAGAAACAAGAGATAAAAGATTCACGTAAATCTTTGCGTTTTTTCAATGTATTCATTCACAGCACGAAGCACAACAGTCATAGGATCTGTGTCAATAGTACAATCATTGAGTAGTAAAATGTCAACAGATAGCAAGAGTTCGAGATCTTTCCTGCATGGACTGAACAGAGAACATTCAAGAAAATAATGACTCATCGTTTCATCACCGTCAGCACAAATACATGCCGATGAATCAATACAATGCAGTTTAAATAAATTATGATTAAGCTGAGGATTATTTGACTTCAACCGCATAAATAGAATCCCCGCTCTTCGATTCGGAAACGACAAATTTTTTGGAGACTTTCTAAGTGGTCTTTGCTCGATGATTGTGTTCTTCAAGTGCTGTTTGAGTTTCGCTGGCTTCAGTAACTGCTGTTGAGGAGGTAGATTATTTCAATCAATAGACACAATATTGAAGAAGGATTTTTGTCTTTCTTCAGTGGATTCAATTTGTTGAGAATTATTGCTTCGAAGATTATATCGTGTATTCGGCTGATAGTAACGAAGATGAACTTTCAGATAATCAGGTGTTTGCCCACGTAATATTTTATAGAAAAGAAAAGCCGAGAGGTGTAGAAGTTATCCGTCAATTTAATCCATCCTAGTATCGATAACGCACGCTCTAATGATGTACCCTTCATAGCTCCCAATACAACTAACGCTGCATAGTACTAGGCAGATTCGATTTTCTTCAGATTAGTACCAGCAGTCAATGAGTATACAATCGAACCATAATTAAATAGTGATAACACGAAGGAATTATATATAAGTTCAAGAGCATTTCTGCATAATAGCCATTTATTATAAGACATCAGGGCAACAATTGAGTCCGCACAAGCACAAACTTTATTAACGTGTATTGTCCAGGAAAGATCAAACGTCAGCTACAAACCCAAATATTTTACTAAAATATATTTTACTGAATTTTTTTCACCGCTTTTGGCTCATATCGACCTCCGTCCGTTAGGAATTTAAAGTTATTAAAAAACGCAAAACACAGTTTTTCTCAGCATTTTTCCGTTACACTGGAAAAAGTATTATACTAAGTGCGCGATTTGGTTCCT